ACTAGCACATTTTCCTTAAAAACTTTAAAATTGTAAAAAGATGATGTCACTTCAACCTCTCTAGTTCCTGAAGCTGTTTGTCTTGAAGGAAATCAAATTTTAAAGGTTGATGGTTCAAAACCTTATTCGTACCAATCATTAGAGGATAATGATACAGGAAATCAAAATCAGTTTAGAGGTGCAACACTCAGGAGATGACCCTGATGATTCGGGTGATCCCATAAAACCAGACTCATCTACTGCCACTATCATCGCTCAAGAAATTGCTTCTGATCTTAATGTTGTAGAAAATCTGAAACTTCCAGAGCATTCACGCAGCTCTGCTGATTGTATTTTTGCTCCTACAATTATCAATAAAAAAGTTAGAGGAAGGCATGCTAAGGTTCAAAATGCATTAACAGGGTCAAGCAAAAAATTTGAACTTCTAAGCACGATTGATGATGCACAATCTACTGCAGAGAATCAAGGTAAAAAAGTTAGAGCAACAGCTTCTGGTGTTGAATAATTAATAAAATAACTCAGAACTAAAAAGAAGACACATCTTGACAAATCTAAGGGCTCATCAGGAGGAAGCAATGGAGGGGATTCAGGCTCCTCATCCCAAGGAAAATGATCATTTTCTTCTGGAATGTAAGAGGATTTAATAATCCTCTTAAACAAGGCCAAGTTCTTCGAAGGGCAACCCAGAATAATGTAGATATTCTTTGCTTGATGGAAACTCGAGTGAAAGTAGAAAAATCTGCTAATATTTTAGCAACTTCTTTTGAGAATTGGAATGTTCTCACCAACTATGACTTTGCAGTAAATGGCAGAATATGATTTTTGTGGAGGAATAGACTGGATTTCTCCTTATGTAATGCAACAGATCAAAGTATCACTGTTAAAGGTCTGTTTAAAAATGCTCCTTTCATCATCATCACAATCTATGGTAGTAATAACGGTATTACTAGAAGGCAGCTTTGGCAAGAACTCCGACATCTCGATTCAAATTTTTAGTGACATCCCTTGGCTCTTGGGAGGGGATTTTAATGTCACCTTGAACAATTATGAAAGCGCTGAATTTATTAATATTGTTAGTCAATCATGGAGTATGGCAGCACAAGGCAATCCTATGAAGTCTTTATTCTTAAAGGCAGCACAAGGCAATCCTATGAAGTCTTTATTCTTAAAGCTTAATCGTCTCAAAGTCAATCTTAAACAACTCAATAAAGATTAGTTTAGTGACATCACGGCTTGAGTTAGACAAAAAAAGAGAAGAACTCGAAAGGTAGCAAATTCTTACTTTAAGAGGTGTTGATTCCATAGAAAAAGAACTTCAGTTGCAGAGAGAGCTCAACTCTTTACAAGAAGTTGAGTCCATGTTTTTAAACCAAAAGGCTAAATTACATTGGCTTAAGGAGGGTGACAAATGCACAAAGTTCTTTCACTCAATCATTGCTACAAAGAACAAGAGACAAACTATAAGGGCCCTTGTCAACAGTCGGGGGAAAAAACTATAATCATTTGATGAAATGTCCTCGGAAATAATAGAGTATTTCAAAAATCTTTTAGGCTCCAAGGATCCTAATGTTAAAGAATGTCCTGCTACACTTCTTAAAGATCTGATGCAACCTATTTCTTCCTTTGGAGATTCTGAAAACCTTATCAAGGAAGTTACTAGTGATGAGATCAAAGATGTTATTTTCAATCAAGGCAACGACAAGGCCCCCGACCCCGACAGTTTTACTTCTCTCTTTTTCAAGAAAGCTTGGTCAGTGGTGGGCAATGATGTTATTAAGGCTATTAAGTAATTCTTCCAAGAATCTTATATCTATCCAGCCTTTAATGCAACAATTATTGCTTTGATTCCAAAAAAGCCGAATCCTAGCAAAGTATCTGACTCCTTCGGGAGGAAGATCATTTCGCCGAGGTGTGCACTTAAAATTGATCTTTAAAAGGCTTTCGACTCCATCAATTGGGACTTCATTCATGCTATTCTTAAAGCTTTGGATTTACCTTCTTTAGTCATTGAATGGATTGTATCTTGCTATAAGGACGCTAGATACTCCATTGCTCTCAATGGAAGCTTGGTTGGATATTTCAAGGGAGCTAAGGGAATCAAACAAGGAGACCCTCTATCTCCTATGTTGTTCGTTCTGGTAATGAACATCCTTTCTAATATTCTCGATAATGCTGCTATTAGAGGGATTTTTGCCTTTCATCCTAAATGCAAAAAAATTAGACTTACTCGCTTGTCATTTGCTGATGATTTATTAATTTTTTGCAAATGAAACCTTGAGTCTGTTATGGGTGTTATTACTGCATTGGACTATTTCTATGAGTATTCAGGTTTGAAGCTTAATGCAAGCAAATGTGAGATTTTCACTGCTGGTATCTCCGCTAATAATCTTGATTCTATCATCAATTATTATGGTTTTAAACATGGTACACTGTCTGTTCGCTACCTGGGGGTTCCACTTGTCATAAGAAAACTAATTGAAAAAGATTGTCGAGCACTTCTTGACAATATCAATAGCAGACTCCATCAATGGTATATTAAGAAGATGAGCTATGCAGGTAGAATTGAGCTTATTAAAACCGTTCTCTATAGTGTTGCAAATTTTTTGTGCAGGCAGATTGTCTTACCTCGATCCATTATCAAGAATATGGAACAATTATGTTCTAGATTTTTCTAGAAAGGTTCGGACATTCCTACAACTGGTGCAAGGGTGAGTTGGGGGAAAATCTGTAAGCCTAAATCCGAAGCAGGCCTCGGACTAAAGGACATAAAGATATGGAATAAGGCATGCCTAATTCATCTTACCAGGAAGCTCCTCGCGGGGGAAGGTTCACTATGGGTTGCGTGGATCCATAATTACATAATTAAGCAGCAAGATTTATGGACCATTGATGAACATCCGAGTGTAAGCTGGTGCTTCAGGCAAATGCAGAAAATCAGAAGTGTTGCTAAATCAGTTCCGATCTCAGCATTAAAAAGTACAAAAGAAATTTGGGAAGAGATTCGTCCTAAAGACACTAAAGTCCCTTGGCATAAATTGATCTGGTACCCTCTCCATGTCCCGAAGTACAACATAATTTCCTGGATGGTTATTTTAGATCGTCTCCCCACTAGGGACAGACTTCAAAGATTTGGGCTTATTACCAGCGATCTCTGTATTTTCTGCTCGGATGCAAAGGAAACTAGAAATTATCTTTTTTCTAAGTGTGTGAAGGCTACATCCATTTGGAGATCAATCCTTCAAATGTATGGTTTGAACAAGCATTTCTTAACATGGAACAATCTGCTGGAGTGGGCGATCGCATCATGGAAAGGTAAATCACTGATATCCTGTATTCTGAAGCTCTCATGGTGTGCTTTTAACTACACCATTTGGGAGGAAAGGAATCGTAGAACCTTTAGAGGAAGTTGCAGAATAGAACCAGAAATTGTCTATGCTATTAAGGATATAATTGGATCTCTTATAAGTAATAGAGATATTAACAGAACAGATAGCACAAATTTAGACCTTTGTACTCACTGGGGCATAGTCTAGCTTTGTTGTAAGTAGTACCCCGCCATTGTTCCTTTGATTGTTTTGTACTATAGCAGTTTACTGCTAATTTGGGTAATAATATCTTATTTATCCAAAAAAAATAAATAAACTAAACCTAAGCTATCCCAATCTTCACGCAGAACATGCGTACATCTGTCTCCCTTCTCTCCACTCTCTATCTCTCTCTCGGCCACGCACAATGCCGCTCTAAACCTCTCGGCCAGGTTTTCTACACACCAAACGACCACCGTTCAACCACTGGGTAAAGCCCCAAACCAATCTAACTCCTTAGTTTTCTCTCTAGACCACAAACCTAAGACTAAGACTCATCAAATTGACCCCTAATTTCTACTTTAATGATCTTGACTCCAACAAAAACCCCAACCTACTAATGTAACCCAAAATCCCTCCTTCTAATTTATTAATGAATTTATTTCTAACTAACACAACCCCTTTGTTTTGATAGCATAAATTCGAACGATTCGGAGGCAAAATGAGATTAACCGCAACTAAGGTAAACATTTAAGTTATCTCTCTTATGTTTTTGACTTAGTTTAAATTCAAAACACGTGCATACACAAGAAAATGATGATAACAATGAAGAATGAAAACTAAAAAAATAGAGTAAATACCCTTTTGATTCTGTGTATTGCTTGGGTTCGACAAAAAAAGGTTCCTCTATTTCTTTTGATCCTCCAATAGCAAAAAAAATACAATATAATCATCTCCTTATGTTTTGATATTCTCTGTAAAAATAATCAATGGGGATGATTTTTTCTGCTTCTGTTTTCCCAGTTAATTACTGCTATCTCTCGGTTGATTCCTCTTTTTTTTCTAGCTATGTAAAACCGATCTCTTTTCCTTGGTTGATAGTTTTTTAGTGGTTCCTCCCATCTTTGTTCGAATCTCACTGTCCTTTTATAGTTGCTTGCAGTGGTCGTTCCACTGATGCCTTGTTTAGTGGAGGATTAGGTGTCCTTTTTTTTACTGTTTTAGTGGGATTTGGGTGGATGGCTAATTTGGTGTTGATTTTCAGATGGATGATGATTCAATGATGACGATGGTGGCCTCGGCAGTGGTTTTTAGGCTCAGACAAAAACGAGCATCTACACCTGCCTCTCTTTGCTCATTTTCGTGTAACGAGAATAGAGCAAAGATCAATAGATGGTCAAGTTTGTCCTGCCATGAGAATTTTAAAAGATTGATCCGCTTCACTGTAACTTCAAGATAAGTGAGACTTGAATAATCTTCGAATGACGAGTCCACTCCCTATTCTTTCAGAGATGATCAATCGAACATAAAAAAAACATAACTAAAACTATATATATTGAGTAAACAATAATCAAACAAAAAAGACCAAGTAAACCGAGATCTACAGATAAAATGACAAAGACGGATAAGAACAACCTTAGAAAAGATTAAAAGGATAAACAGGGGTGGAGTTCACTGAGACAGCAAATATCAAAGTTAAGAGTTCGAGGAAAACCATGGGAGACTCCGAAGATACCAACAAGAAAGAATTTAAAGGCACAGGATTGGATCTTCCACCGTACAAGCATGGAAATTTGATCAATGCTTCATCCGATGAAAATCTCCGCGATATTCTTCTTCGTATTAAGTCCACCAAAATTCCTGTAAATCCTTTTCATCTTAATGGGTTTGTTTTGTAAAATATTGAAGTTTGTTAACTGACCTTGTTACTCTTTTTTTGATGTGTCTGCAGACTGTTATCAATTATGGAGCCTCATGGTAAGTAACATCTTCATGTAGGGTTTTGTCAGCATTATGCAGACAATGTGTTCATCGAAATTTTTCTTTGGAAGAGTATAACAAGGATTTGGGAGAGAAAGCAAATTTTGGAAATGAGTTGTTATAGACCTGGGCTAGGAATCGAGAAAATGAAATATGCTCGTTTATTAATGTTTAAACTCATTTAACTTAGCTGATTACCTATGGTATTTTTGAAAACTTTGCTTGTTTTAGGTGCGGTGTTTGTAGCCAGATCCTTCCTGCATTTTGCAAGTTGAGCAACCAGTTCCCAAAGCTATCTTTCGTTTATACAAACATTAATGAATGCCCTGAAACGATGCAGAATATTCGTTACACTCCCACATTTCATTTTTATCGAGATGACAAAAGAGTGGATGAGATGTTCGGTGCCGGCGAAGAGCGGCTGCACGATTGTTTGTGGTTATATTCATGATAGAATTATGTTTGTTTCCTGTCTTTGAGACAATTTAGATTATGAATGTCTGTCATTGAATAAAGTATAGTAGCACAAATGGTGTTCTTTATTAGGAACAAAGTTTGAATACAATAATAATAGACAATTTATATAGAAAAAATCACATGTTTCTTTATTCTTATGATGTGTACCAGAATCATGGCTACTATAAATATCATTTGCTGAAATTTTGATGTAACCAAACTGAGTTAGGCTTTTGGTTTAAGAGGCTTGACAATCTCTCAAGTGAAATATGGGTCATCGCGTTTGAAATGACCGTAAGCGGTCTTTTGGTACCTAAACTTCCCTCCTCTCTTCAAATCGTAGTTGGTAGAGATCATTCCTGGCCTAAAATCGAAGTTCTCCTTGATCAACTGCTAGATTTCCTTGTTTGGGATCTTGCTTGTCTTGTATGTGTCAACTGAAATCGAAAATGGCTTCGGCACACCAATTGCATAGGATACTTGCACGATACAGCGGCTAGCAAGCGTCGAGGTCATGAAAAGGATTTACAGGAGTTTTGGAGGACTTCATATAAAAAAGAATATCGCTGAGATTTTCATCGGATGAAGCACTGATCAAATTTCCATGCTTTCTCAGGGGAAGATCCAATCTTATGCCTTCAAATCCTTTCTTGTTGCTATATCCGGAGTCTCCCATGGTTTTCCTCGAACTCTTAACTTTGATATTTGCTGTCTCCGTGGTCTCCACCCCCGTTTATCCTTCCAATCTTTTCTAAGGTTGTTCTTATCTGTCTTTGTCATTTTATCTGTAGATCATCCTGTTTGTAAACGAATAAGCATAATATATATAATGAGTAAACAATAATCAAACAAAAAAAAGAAACTGAGATCTACTGATAAAATGACAAAGACGGATAAAAACAACCTTAGAAAAGATTGAAAGGATAAATGGGGTGGAGTTTACGGAAACAACAAATATCTAATTAAGAGTTCGAAGAAAACCATGGGAGACTCCGAAGATATCAACAAGAAAGGATTTGAAGGCACATGATTTGATCTTCCACCGAACAACCATGGAAATTTGATCAGTGCTTCATCCAATGAAATTCTCAACGACATTTTTCTTCGTATCAAGTCCTCCAACACTGGGCTTGCTCGCTACTGTATCATGCAAGTATCATATGCAATAGGTGTGCCGGAGCCATTTCGTTGACACATTCAAGCCAGGTAAGATCCCAAACAACGATATCTTGTAGTTGATCAAGGATAACTTAGATTTCAAGCAAGGAATGATTTCTACCAACCCCGATTTAAAGAGAGAAGGCAAGTTTAGGTACCAAAAGACCGTTGCTTACGGTCATTTTGGACGTGATGACCCAGATTTCACTTGGGAGATTGTCAAGCCTCTTAAACTAAAAGCCTAACTCGGTTTGGTTACATAAAAAATTCAACAAATGATTTTTATAGTAGCCATGATTATGGTAAACAGCATAAGAATAAAGAAACATGTGATTTTTCACATAAATTGTCTATTATTATTATATTCAAACTTTGTTCCTAATGAAGAACACCATTATTATGCTTTGTTCAATGACAGTCATTCATAACTCTAAATTGTCTCAAAGACAAACGAACATAATTCTATCATGAATATAACCACAAACGATTGTGCAACCACTCTTCTCCGGCACCAAACATCTCATCCACTCTTTTGCCAGCTCTATAAAAATGAAATGTGGGAGTGTAACGAATATTATGCGTCGTTTTAGGGCATTCATCAATGTCTACATAAACAAAAGATAGCTTTGGGAAATGGTTGCTCAACTTACAAAATGCAGGAAGGATCTGGCTACAAACACCGCACTTGAAACAAGCAAAGTTTTCAAAAAAACAAACAAACAATGGGTAATCAGCAAAATTAAATGAATTTAAACATTAATCAACGAGCATATTTCATTTTCTCAACTTCTGGCCCAGTTCTATAACAACCTATTTCCAAAATTTGCATGTTCTCCCAAATCCTTGTTCTACTCTTCCACAGAAACATTTAGATGAACACCTTATCTGCATAATGCTGACAAAACCCTAAATAAAGATGTTACTTACCATGAGACTCCATAATTGATAACAGTCTGCAGGTTCATAAAAAAGTAACAAAGTCAATTAACATACTTTAATATTTTACAAAATAAACCCATTGTAATAAGTTAGTTGGGTAGAGCAAAAAAAAAGAATGGGGGCTCTCTAGGCGTACGTTAGCAGGCCTAATGGCCTCTCAGATTTTCCTCTTTCCTTATAATTCTTGCTTCGTCCTTTCAAGTTTTTTAATTGTTGGACTGGGCATGATCAGTTTTTAGATACTGTCAGGGCTTCTTGGCAGGATCATTGTAGTGGATCTGCCATGAGTTGCTTGTTCAACAAGTTGAGAAGACTCAAGCCTCTTCTCAATGAGTTCAATTTGAAATATTTCTCTGATATTTTTGATAGGGTCAGGACCAAGAGGATTGAACTGGAGCAAATGCAAATTCTTAATCTGGCCCATACAAATCATAGGAGCATTGATGAAGAGAGAAGAATTCATGCTGATTTAGTTGACTTGGAGATTGTTGAATATGATTTTTTTTCAGACAGAAAGCAAGTACATTGGCTTAAGGAATGTGACTTGAACACTAAGTTATTCCACCAGAGAGTCCAATCTAACAAGAAAATGAATATAATTATAATTATTAAAGATGAGGTTGGGCAGAGTTATGACTCCTTTGAAGGAATTGCTGCTGAGTTAGTGGGTTACTTCACTAATCTCATTGGCTCTCCTTATCCATTAGTTAAAGGTTGTTCTGTTGGTAACTTGAAAAATCTGTTAAACTATTTTTGCCTGAGGATGCTGCTACCTGTCTTATTAAGGAGGTGAGTGATGTTGAGATCAAAGAGGCCATGCTTAGGCAGGGGAAGGACAAAAGCCCAGGCCCTGATGGGTTCACCTATGGCTTCTTCAAGCCTGCCTTGGAAATTATTGGCAGTGATTTCATTGCTACTGTAAGGTACTTCTTCCAAACATCTTGTTTGCAACATGCATTTAATGCTACTACCTTAGTTCTGGTCCCTAAGTCCTTAAATGCATGTTTGGCTAAAGAATTTAGGTCTATCTCTTGTTGTTCAGTGATCTACAAAACTATCACTATAATACTTTTTAACAGGCTTATTCCTTACTTCCCTGGTATGATTTCTCATAACCAGTCTGCCTTTGTCAAAGGAAGGTATATAGTTGATAATACCCTTCTAGCTCAGGAGATAGTGAAAGAATACTCTATGAAGAGTCTTTCTCCTATATGTGCAATCAAAATTGATCTATAAAAGGCTTTTGACTCTGTCAATTGGTCCTTCTTGCTTTCTATTTTTGAGGCCATGGGGCTTCCCTCTGTGTTCTGCAATTGGATCAAAGTTTGTATTATTACCCCTATGTTCTCGGTTTGTTTCAATAGAAGCTTGGTGGGTTTCTTTAAAGGGGCAAGGGGTATTAGACAAGGGGATCCTTTATCCCCTTATCTTTTTGTCATTGTGATTAACGTTCTGTCCTCTCTTTTGAATGCTGCTGCCAAACAAAAAAATTTCAGATTTCATCCAAAATGTAAGAGACTCTCCCTCACTCATCTTTGCTTTACAGATGACTTACTAGTGTTCTGTCATGGTTCCTTTGAATCTATTTTGGGTGTTCTGAGCACCTTGGAGAATTTTTATGAATTATCTGATCTTAAGTTGAATGCAATGAAGACTGAACTTTATGCTCGCGGCTTGAACGATAGCACTCTTAATCTAATTCAGTCAGTTATTGGGTTTAGGGTGGCACATATCCCAGTTAGGTATCTCGGGGTACCCCTGGTTACTCGTAAACTCACTAGTAAGGATTGTGTTGCTCTTTTGGAGAGAATTAAAGTAGAGCTTAGTCAATGGTCCACTAAGAAACTTAGTTTTGGTGGAAGATTGCAACTTGTTAAGACTGTCCTCTTCAGTATCTTTAACTACTGGAGCAGGCAACTCATTCTCCCTAAGGGGATTATTAAGGACATAGAGAGGATTTGCATGCGTTTTTTCTGGAAAGGTTGTGACTCCCCTGCTAAAGGAGCACATGTGGGTTGGAGCCAGATTTGTTCACTAAAATCAGAGAGGGGCCTGGGACTTAGAGGCCTAGCTCTTTGGAATAAAACCTATTGCTTGTTGCTTATTAAAAATATTCTGGCTAACAATGACTCTCTTTGGATTGCATGAGTACTATTTTAAAAATGCAAATTTTTGGGATGTTGATTGTAAAAGCCACTTCAGCTGGATTATGAAGAAGCTGCTGGGGCTAAGAGAAGAGGCAAGGAGGTTGTTTTCTCCTGGTACTATCTGGTACCACATTAAAGGAAGATGGATTTGGGACGACATTAGCGTCAGCAGGGAGAAGGTTAATTGGCACAGAATCGTTTGGTTCCCTGTTCATATACCCAAGTTCTCCCTTATCTCGTGGATGGTCTTCCTCAACAGATTTCCTACTAAGGATAGGCTGGCTCGATTTGGTTTGATTACGGAAACTGATTGTGTTGTGTGTGGATCTGGTCTAGAATCCCGTGACCATCTCTTTACAGGTTATTTCTTTGCTAAGGAAGTCTGGAGGACTATCTTAGCTTCATGTGGGATTCGTTATGACATGCAAAGCTGGGATGAATGTCTTAGCTGGTTGGTTGTGAACTTGAAAGGTAAATCCCTCCGAGTGCAAATTCTCAAGCTTGCTTGGACTGGTTTCCTGTACTACATTTGGGAAGAGCGTAACCATAGGTGTTTTAGGGGACATTCTCGTTCAGCTGGCACAGTTGTATATAGGATTAAAGAGGCTGTAAAGATCAAGTTGTATAGGAATTGTATACATAGAATTGATGATGCTAATAGGTTTATGTTCACTAACTGGGGTCTGATCTAGTACGTTGATTGTTTCTTTGTAGCAGCTATGTTGCTTTCATTTTGGATGAAATATAAATTACTTATCCAAAAAAAATAAACCCGTTAAGATGAAAAAGATTTACAGGATTTTTGGAGGACTTGATACGAAGAAGAATATCGCTAGATTTTCATCGGATGAAGCACTAATCAAATTTTCATGCTTGTTCGGTGGAAGATCCAATCCTCTACCTTTAAATCTTTTCTTGTTGCTATCTCTGGAGTCTCCCATGATTTTCCTCGAACACTTAACTTTGATATTTGTTGTCCCTGTGAACTCCCCCCACACTACAACAAAACAAGTTTTTAGCGGCGTTTTTAAGCGTTGCTAAATTCTTTCCCAATGCCAGTAAAAGTGCCAAAAAAAATAGCCACTAAAACCAGTGCCGCAACATTTAGCGGTGTTTATGAATAGAAAACACCACAAAAGGTCAAGCTCTATAGAGGTTTTTTTCTTAAAAACGTAGCTAATTAACTTGTCTTTAGTGGCATTTACTTTCTAAAATGCCACTATATGTTATGATATTTAGCGTCGTTTATGGTAAAAACATCGCTATTAACTATTTATATAGTGGCTTTTTTACAAAACCACAAATGTGTACACTATTAGTGGCGTTTCCTTCACAAAACGCCGCGAAAGAACCTGACTTCTAGTGGGTTTTATTTACAAACGCTGCTATGGTTAACTGATTTTGCATATATTATTTTCTACTCTATATTACCCAAATTTAATATCATGTAACATTATCTAATAACAATAAACCTAAAATTTAATTATGACACGAATTATGTAGAAAACACTTAGCAGCATCCAAGAAAAAATAAATAGTAAACATAGTTGCACACTTGCACTTAATAGTGTCCAACGCAAATCAAATATTAAAACATAGGTTCCACTTCCTAATGTTCAAGTCAAACAAAACATTAAATAAAACTGACAGTTATCAAGAGAAATTTGGAGTTGTTTATCTCAAGGACAACTCTCCTCCATATGCCTAAGCAACAGACATCTAATTTCAGGAGAAATTAATAAGAAAACAACCCGTCTCTTCTTATCCATTAGTACTTCAAGGGCAAAAAAGTATAATTTGATTGCTTTTGGCACCTGCTCTGATAACTCATCAAGTTCTTTTATTGCTTTAGGAATGCTATATAGTTCAAGAATCAACACTTACATACACAATATAAATTCATGCTTACAAACTAATGTTATTCAAGCACTATATAACACTTACACAATATAAAATGAAGTACTGCAGCAATATATTCATAAAAATGAATTTCCATTAAATACACTCAATATGAATTCCTACATAGTTTCCTAAACATGCAGCACATTCAAAACATTTCAATCACTGATTAGTTTTATATTCAAAACACTCAATATGTTGATATGAATATTCAAGGAATCTAAGTAAGCTGCTAATATGAATATTAGCTTAAAAAAGCATTCGTACTAGGAACTGAGAGAAATAGTATTACATGAGTAAAATGGATTCGTTAAATACCATGTAATAGATCAAGTTCAAAACTGGATGATCCAAAACATCAAGTGACACGGCCTCATCAAAGGCTGATAAAACCACCTGCATGTAGAGAAAGCAGTTTAAAGAAAGCACATAAAGCACAAGAAAAATGTTTTGCAACGAAATCAAGAAATCAGCAACATAATGTTAATGTTTCTAAAGGTTGATGGAAAGAGTTTTATTGTTCAACAGTTGTCAAACATAATGTTAATGTTTCTAAAGGTTGATGGAAAGAGGTACTTATGTTCGATCTTTTCATTGCGTTTATGCTCATTTTTACTTGCATTTCAATCTTTTGTAATACAATATTTGTTGTGGCTCAACGCGAAAATTTCTTTGTATTGATTCTAAGTTTGTTCTAAGTAAAGCTATCCACCAATACATCCAAAAACCATGGTAGATGGAACCATAAAAACTTGGAAAAGAAAAGGAAAACAAAATTCGTCCATCAATTTCTTAATTGGACAAAGCATATCTTAGGGTGAAGAAAGGTGACTCCACCATTGCCAGTACCAGGAACAAGGTCAATATCAAGCTTTGGACAATCAGTCTTCAAATAATAATCCCATCCCAATATACCTGTTCTATACGAAACCCTCAATTTCATCTCCACAAAAAAAAGCTCATTTCCCCCTTCTCTTCATCTCCCTTCATAGTTCATACCTTCCAACACCCAATCATCAACGTATGGCCGTTCTTCCCCACACTGAGCACTGTTGAACATGCAATATTTCCACCAGCCTCTGCTTCTTTGGCCCCAGGTGAATTGCCTCCACAACAGCACACGAAATCGGGTTACTGTGATTGTAATACAACGAGCTGTTGAAGTTGTGTATGGGCATCTCCAACACGCTGTTTCGGTTCGCGAACAACACTGTTATGTCACATCTTGTACGAGTCAAGAAGCATGATACATTGAGGCCTGACATTGAAATGGAATGAATTTTGAGTATCAATGGCTGCTGGTGCGGTTTTGGAGCGTATTTTGATGCCATGGTGATTCCGATTATCAAGATGATCATCCCAGTGAATGTGCCAAGAATTGTAAGAGCCAACTGTAGGTTGCTTGAATATGACTTTGGTTCCCCATTGGCCATAATTTTTCCTGCAGGATACATCAATAAAACACTAATTAAACCCCGTCTCTAGAAACTTAAAAAGGAGATCAAAATCCAAGAGATTTTGCAGTAAATTACCTTGGCAGTTTACAATGGCGAAACTAGTGAACGCCCTTGGTTTCACCAGGAAAATTTTGAACAGTTAAGTTGGACCTTCGTTTGTACTATGATATGATCCTACGAAGGATTGTTCCTTCTTTTCTTTTAGAAGTTAGAAGAGGAAATGGTTTAAGTTTTGATGGTGTTCAGCGATTTAGAAATGGAAAAGGATGGTGAAGCATTAACGGTTTTAGCGTCTCTTTTGATTCAAAGTGAGCAGTTTTTAAGAAACGGCGCAAATTTTGGCAAAAGACATCTACAACTATAAATGGTGCTTTTTTTATAAAAAAAAAATCTTAATTCTTAACATTTTATTTTAGATTTGAATATTTTTTATGTTAATGGTTAACTGATCAAGGATTAATGTCTGTTTATCGACTGAACATATTTATATAGATTAAAATATTGACGTGATATATTCATACATGATTTATTGACGATGTAATATAGTTCTACGCGAATTGCAATCTACAATTCCAATCATTAAATTAGTGTGGAATTACAGTATGTTCTGCTCTCCAAAATTATTCTTTCGACCGTTTGGATATGAAATTTAACATATTTAATTTTGCAAATCTGAAAGAAAAAATATTTAAATGAAATATGAAAGGGTTTAATATAATATAAAAGAAAGTCAGAAGTATTGAATTGAGATCTTAAATAGTCATCTCTTATCAGAATGCTTGCAATTGTTCTTTGGTAATCTTAATGTTTTTGGTCAAACCTTTACGACTAAATAGGTTAAGGCGTCAAATATTCCTTGTAAAATCCTCGACGATAAAATATTTAGTTGGTGGTTGAGGAGGTTCGGGTTCAGAAGGTGCGAGGCAAAGGTGAGGCAGTGACGATGGTTTTTGCGGTTTGATTTAAGGGATTTAGATTAGACTCAAGCAATATATTTGGGTATAATTGTGTTTTATAAATATATATGTAGATGATTGGTTGAATTTTAGTATATATGTGGCACGAATCAACTTACCTAAGTGATTAAAGGAATCGTTATTGTTTTTAGAAGTCATAAGTTTCAAGCACCAATCTGTAAAGATGATTGAACGTTTATTGTCAAATGATTGAGAATACTTAAAACAAATGTTACTTTATAATCACCTTTAATTTAATAAAAAAATATTATGCATATGGAAACTAGTAGAGAAACTAAAACTTCTTATCATTTAAATTTAAAAACAAGTGATTTGAGAGAAATTCATATAATTTAAAAGTAAAAATAATTAAATGATAAAAGAGATTCACTTTAAAATAATCTCATTATAAAGAGAGTTTTAAGAAAGTTAAATAATTTTAGTGTGATCTTTATAGGTACCTCTTATGATTTTAATATTCAGTTATAGAAAAATAAAGGGCAAAATGTCTCACTATCTTAGTATGGTAAAATAATTGAAACTGTAATATTCTTAATGAACTATAAATTATATTTAACCCTATAATATTTCTTATGTTATTAGTAAGTTAAGTGTTGAAATAGAGAGAAGAATATTGAGAAACAATGGATTGACCTTTCCATTGATTAAGAGTGAATATATATACACAAGATTGGGCATTTCCGTGAGTTACCCAAAGCACAGAAATAGGAAACTAGCCTAGAGTTGGGGGATTAAACCTAATTACAAGGATATGTTATAATTAATTCTCTAATATGCCCCCTCAAGATGGAGCTCTGGATGAGACACCAATCTTGACCCTTAAATCTTAGAAGCGGCTTCGTGGAAGCGGTTTGGTAAGAGCGTCGGCAAGTTGATATGCTAAGGAAACATGAGTAACACGAAGAGCACCTGATTGAACTTGACCCCAAATAAAGTGATAGTCAATTGCCACATGTTTCATGCGCGAATGAAAGACTGGATTAGAACAGAGATAGGTGGCACCAACATTGTCACAGTAGATAGCAGGTGGTGTAGGAAGAGTGATGCCAAGTTCTATGAGAAGAGAACAAATCCAATTGAGTTCAGAAGTAGTAGCGGCAATTGATCAATACTCGGCTTCTATGGAGGATCGAGCAACTGTACGATGTTTCTTGGATGACGACCAAGATAGACAATATAGGCACTCGTTGAGGTATAATCATCTTTGTTTCCAGCCCAATCAGTATCTGAGAAGGCATGAAGGGAAAGTGGATTTGCCTTATAAAGGAATAATCCATGAGTTAATGTGCCACATAGATATCGAAGCAGTCGTTTTACAACATTCCAATGTTCAGACGTTGGGCAATTCATGAATTGATA